AGAGATTCTAACATGGAGTAGTGTCTTAACAAACTGGATCTATTTGATGTTTAACGACTCGCTATTCTTGAGGTTCAACGATATATGTTAATATGGGTCGTATGAAAGAAATTGTGGCTTGTTAGACAGGTATAAGTTACAGCGGTAAAGAATTCTAGGGTCTATTTTAGTTCACCTGACATTACTTGATGTGCAGCAAAGAGAAACTCAAATATGAATGTTGAAGTTACTTTGATTGTCTCATATTATTTACACTTAGTGATGATAATTAGAAAGAAATGACCTAAGCAACGTTAAGTTAGCGAATTAGAGAAAGTAAGGTATCAAATCCGATTACGACAAGAATTGAGCAATACATAGATCAGTTCTTGACAGTTCCTGGAGTTTACTTTAATGGTTCCCTTGATTAGGTGTTCTGCTGTTAGATATATACATCTACCATGACATTATTTCTGAGTTCCTAATATTTGCTAATGGTAATAGCCGCCTTACCTCCATTACCGTTCACAGTAATATTTTTTTCTTTTTATATTTATTTACAATCTTTTCTAATATGGTCATGTAACTCTCCCCTGGTTAGTCGGGTAAACGCTAGCGGATGTAACCGTGACTAGCTTGGACATCAGTATTCTTATGGATGTTGTTCTGTCCATCAACAGCTACCAAGAGTAATGCATTTAAATACATCAAACAGTAATTTATGGCTGGCGCATTCAATATATGTCAATAAAACTTTGTACTATGGTAGCATGCAATAACATTTTAGCTCGTTTATGATATATATATATAAATATATATATATATATATATATATATATATATATTACACCAAATGACGTTATTATTGCGTAATAGTCTACTTCGTTACATATCAAATCACATGAGACACAATGTAATGAAACCCTAAGAGATGAGAATGAAACAATTTAGTTTCACAAAACTTAAGAATGGCTAGGAAAAATGAAAGTATATATAGGTGTTGAATCTCATTGTTAATTAGGATAAAGATCAAGAGTAAATACATTTGCGTAGCACGAGTGATTCACAGGGTGGGACAGCCCTAGATGTTTGCCAACTTCGATTTTGTGAAGGTATATTTTCTATAGTTTGGTTTGCAAGGATTAGTAATGTTTTTACGAGTTGATCAGGGATTGAAAACCATGGAGTACTGGACAGCTGCTGTTTCATCCTAGTTTGGGAATCATCGGCAGTACGCACCCACTGGGATTCGAACCCAGGACCTTCCGGTTACAAGGCAAGCTGGCTCGTATACCATTTAGCCACTGGGACCCGATTCAATGGCTCATGAATTCTAACTTCTACCAATTCGTGATTTAGCGTGACCCCAACCATTGTCGTTGGTGGGATACCCATCCACACACGTGACATCTAATTGGACCTCACTGGTCACGACTTCTCACTAGGACTCCAGGAAACTCCATCCCGTAGCAAGTCACTAGCGAGCATCAGATTAATTTTCTATAGTTTGGTTTGTAAGGGTTAGTTATGTTTTTACGAGTTGATCAGGGATTGATATCAGTTAGAGAACCATTGAAAACCAGGGAATCAATCGCTGACTGAGTGCCCAATTAAAATAGTTCAATGCGACCAAGGAATAATCGTCTATAAGAATAAAACTATGTATGTATTGCACTTCAATTTATTACTGTTTCCTAAACCCCAAGTTAGGTGATTAATCGAGCTACTAACTGCTTTTCGAATCTAGTTGTCAATTAAAGTGTCTGATAAATCTGGAAAACCGAAACTATTGCAGTGGTTGTATTTCATATTTGCAGAGCCTTGGCTCATTTGTCTAGGCGCTTAGCTTCCAGCCATTGGGCCACGGGTTCGAATCCCGCCCCACCTATCGAGATTTTAGCAGTTGAGTAGTGTAAGTAGCCCCCACATACACATATGTGCGGCTCATTGCTACACAACATACAGTTGCAAGTGTTTAGCGAGTTAAAAACTAATTTTGTATCTGCCCATTGTAGCTGCAATCCCCTACAGTAAAGTCAGACGGTAAAGCATTGTACATTGTTTTATACCTAATTGAGTATTCATGTTAGTGAATGGGTTGTATAGAGGGGGTTAGTGAAATAATATAGTATATTATAGTGATAGTTTATTCGTGAAGTACCAAAGACATATGCTTCTATAAGCAGGGTGAATATTCCAGTGGTCTGAATAACCTCTGTTTCCAAAGGGAACTGTGGTGAGATAATCACCTCGAACTGACTAAATTGCGAACTGGATCTATGGTATCATCATTGTGCACAAGTGGCTAGCCAAAAATCTGGTGATTTTAACTGATTCCGCTCCCTGAGTTGAGTCAAACAGGGTACACTGTTGATGACTTGGGCCCGAAACGGCCTCCAGGTGTTTGGATAACTTGGATCTAGCTAGCAAGCACCAATGGTGTTGATGTGAGTAGTATACAACTACTCATCCCAATTAAAAAGTAGTATATATATAGGCTTAAAGTCTGGTATGAGTATTAATGATTTTGTCAAATCATTTGTCTCTCTTGCCTAGTTTCTTAACTCTTATATGTGTCTGACATGAGCAGTGTTGCGAGATTATCGGTGCTCAAATCTATTAAAGCTGCATATGTCCTCTTCTTTAGTGACGGATGTATTACTGGGTGGTAAATTTAGTCCTGAATAGACATCCAGATATTTCACCTTTGCAAAAGTCGTTCAACCTTTTCATGAAATGTTTTGAGATTTTCAAGTATTGGTTTTTTAGGGATTTTATTTGATTGCATGGAGGATTTCATCATGAGCTGATATCAGTTAGAGAACCACTGTAAAACTTTCAGGGAGTACTGGACAGCTGTTTCGTCCTAGTTTGGGACTCTTCATCAGTACGCACCCACCGCCAGGGTTCGAACCCAGGACCCTCTGGTTACAAAGCGAGCTCGTAGACCATTGAGCCACTGGGACCTGATCCAATGGTCCTTGAATTCTAACTCCTGCCAATTCACGACGTAGCGTAACCATTTCGCAATGTCTTCTTCGATGAGTTACTGCCTCATCTTCAACCTGCTGTACCCTACTGGTCACGGCTTCCCACTAGAACCCCAGGTTAACTGCCTGGATAGAGTGATGAACCTTCTCAGGTATATGAATCAGCTCATTGTGTGCTTGCGAACTCTCACCATTCATGACACTGGAAACATTTTTGACTGTCTGACAAGATAGGAGCATATTGTATAATAGTCAGTTTTGTTACACTACACTGTCTTCAAGATGCAACTGTTGAAGGTGAGGAAAACGATTTTTTGTGGCATCTTAGCATAGATTTGCTGTTTAACCACTAATTGAGCTATGCCTAGTTTTCATTTAGTGTGCTTGAAAAATAAGCTATGTCTATGAGGTTGTGATTATCACCAAGTGAGTTGGTTTAAACCAGTTTGGAACATTTTGAGGAATCGTCTACCTCAGCCCACTGATGATATTGGCCCAAGATTAAAATTTTTTAAAAAGACCAAGGAAGGTTCATACCAATGTAATCGGGTGGTCTGAACTGATTCAGACCGAGTACGCTGCTGATGAGCTTGGCTCCAGACGAGTGAAATGGCCGTCTGGTATTCAGATCACCTCGATCTGGCTAGTAAGCAAGCACTACTTGTTAAATGTGAGTAGTATACGACTACTCATCTCAATCAATCAGTAGCCTGTAGTTTTATGCACCAGTGTAATTCTAATAAAGAAAATTCCTGCTATTTTGAGTCATCGAGGCTATTGACTCATGTTGTTAAAGAGTTTAGAATCCTTGAACGAAGATTCTTTACGGGGGCGCTCTTCATCATTTTCAAGATTTTTAAGATGTATTGACCTTTACTCATTTATTTTTTCTAGCCATATTTGTCAAGTAAAATTCTAGTTTTGCTTCCATATACTTGCAGTTGGATCACATATTTCTGCTTATATGTCACTTGACTGTCTTCTTCAAACTGTATCTGTCTAATTTGTTAACATATTGTACTTGATTGGACGCTGGGTAGTAACTAGTGTCATGTGTCTAATCCTTCGTTCGGTGCAGACTGAATTTTATCAGTCAAGTTTGCGAAAATTGGCCAACATGCTAGGTGGCTGGCCATCACATTGCACTCTGAATTGTTGTTAGATGGTTGGAAGTAATCGATAGGAAGCCTTAGATCTACGTTTTGTGCTTATTGGATTCTCATCAGCAATGTGTATCTGCAATCTTGAAGGAACTCATGTCCCTTCTGAAATCCACTCAATGCTGCAATCAGATATGCTACCATTGAGCGATTCGGGTGTGTACATGTTGTAACTTGTCATACTGCGTTAGTTCACTTTATCCGATAGTAGAAGTCTTCATGGGGACAACACCTTTTAGTAGGTCCTGTCTTTTGCGGTTTGGGAAACAAAGCATTACTGTAGTTGTAACGGCAGAAGGCAAGAGTCAGGCAACAGATCATTTATTAAGGAAATCAACGCATATTTATATATTTGCATGTACATTACTATGGTTATTTAAGTAAACAAACACAGTCTTCCGATTGGTTGTTTCTCACGTAAAGTTAATCTTTCATCTATTTGTGACTGTTTCTTGAATGTCAAATCCTCTATATGTTAACTGCATCCGCCTACGCAAAGTCTGCTATGGTCGGTTTTGAATCAATCTTTGTTCACATTTTCTCACGACAAATCTTGGGAACGTAAATATTGACGTAAATTACTGTCTACCAATTTGGCTAGTAGACAGCTGTCACCACATAGTTACTACTTATCAGTCACCTAAAACATATTTACATATGTCATAGAAACCCGTGAGAGTCCCAAACTAGGACGAAACAGCTGTCCAGTACTGTCAAATTTTTCAATGGTTTTCTAACTGATGTGTCAACTCATGATGAAACCCTCCAACCAATCAAACACAATCCCTACAAAACCAATACTTGACTGTTTTGTAACTAAAATTTATTCATGTTATTATCACAATCATAATATTATATAATATCCATGCAGTTGTCGTTCTTTTATTTTTCATAACAGGTAAAATACAACGAAGAAAATCATACTTCACTTATGGTCGGTCATAGCTCTTTTCAAATTCTTCAGGTATTCTACTGTTGAGAGTGGCTTTAAATCCGGTTATTGAAAAATTCCTGGGTTCCTTATCACTCACTGATGAGGAGTCGTCAGTTTTGTTGTGAACAATATTGATTTGATTCTTTGATACTTTTCTTTTCTTTTTGCTAGTATGTTTGTGTAATCAATTGTTTATATATTGGTGACCATGCATTTCTTCTTCATTACACATTGTATTTTATCACGTGTTATACTCATTAGTCTATTTCTATTACTCACGTTATTATATTCAGTGATAATTACCTTGCAATAACAACAACAACAATGTACACGACGAAAGTTCTGCTTCTCTCATACTGACACATATGACACAGAACAGTGATTTTCTTTCTCGTTCTTTTGTTTGTCCGCGGATAGTTCTTCTGTTTGTTTTTTTTCCACGGAAGATCCGCCTCTGTACTTTTAATTATTTCTAGTTTTCTTATTACTATTCTAACTTGAAGTGATTTTACGCCTCACATTGCTAGTTTTAATTAGTGATATATACATATGGAATGTTTTTATTTGTGATTTTATAATTGCTTTACAAAAAAACGTTTCTTATATTTTAAAGTGCCTTTTTTGTTGTTGTTTATATACCCTTTTCTCTAGTGGTAATAAGGTACTTCTACCAGCTTGGTAGAAAAATTAAAGCATATATATATTACTGTGCAGCGATTCGTTCTGTCCTCCTTTGTGGCTGTGCTACATAGCCACTGAAGGTGGAAGATATGAAAAGACCCGTTGGCTTTGACTACAGATATTTGTGTTCTATCTTCCGTGTTAAGTGGTCGAATATAGTTTAGAGTGTTAGTTAAAGAGGGTTAGTCATTCGATACGGTTATGTAGCTACATTGATTGAGATAGCTAAGACATGTGCTGTACATTCCAAGCCACCACCTTCCTCGACATAGGATTAGTTTGGAGAATACTTAGGACTCGTCAAACCAAAACCTGGCATCAGTTCATGAGTTCTTTGACAGGTGTTTTGAGCCAGTCATGTAGGTAGGTGTAGACTGCCTAATTGGGGTCCATGAGATGCTGAGAACCAATAGCTGGAGACTATTGATGATACCTCTCAAAATCGTTCTCAATAGTGCCAATGCATTCTCTCTTTGTGATCATCCATACCTATCAAATCCTCATTTCTTTTTTTCATGTCAGTATTCTTTCTATTGATGTATAATCCCCATCCAGGCATTAATGAAAACAAAACGCGTGGATCAGCGAAGAGTCTCTTCCCGGCGAATTCATTTTCTTAGCTGTACAATCGCAAATATGAGTGAAACTCACTCATCAAACTATTCATATTATTACATAACTTTTTTTAACAACTGTTTGTGACAACTCATCACCTTTGTTACTACCCTAATTTCATTAACACCTAATTTTCTTGACTGATTTTGTATTACGTAACTCCAATTACTAATCTTCACCTGTATAGTTAGAATAACTATAACCAGTTGTATTTTTGTTTGATAAACTTAATGTACACATACATACAAAATAACACATATATATTTGCGATTGTATAGCTAACAAAATGAATTCGCTGGGAAGAGACTCTTCGCTGATCCACGCGTTTTGTTTTCATTAATATTCTTTCTCCCGTATATTTGTGCTCATTATAGTCTTTTTGAGTTTCTTTTCCCTGCCTTTGTGTACCACTTGGAATGTGGTAATTCGAACTGCTGCACTTCTGTGTAAAGTTCTGAAAGGTATTCTATTTCACATTGTTGGGAACTTATGTTTCGTAGACGCTTATTAGCAAAACAACTCATCTTAAATTTGGTATCGTTAAATCCTTCAATGCTTAGGTTAAACAGTCGCACACCAAGTTGTTTGTATATGGTTAGCACATAGCTATGTTTCCACCTAAAGAGGAGTTAATATCCTCAAAAACTGTAAAATCGTATTTTTATACACAAGTCCACGGAGTTACCATTATTATTCATTGCAACACACTAACCAAGGTAGATAATAATCTTTAACTTGATATAATAATAATTTGCTTTATTCCAAAACAGTACTTGTGATACAGAATGGAATTCTCAGTAATTTTTACTACAGTATTGCATCCAGTTAGTACATTATCAATAAATAGAATTCTACATAGATTAAGGAAATCTCAGTTCATTATGACAACAACATATTGGCATGTCGGTAGCAAAGCCAAAGTTGAACAGTGTTAGAAAAGTAGGTGCTATCAAATTTACTGGCGTAAGCGAGAGAAAGAAACAAAGCAGCACATAACGGAAAAAGAGAGAGAGAGAAAAAAGGAAAAGAAAGAAAGAAAATGTTGTACCTATAAATGATATGAGTTGGAAAGACGAGATCCAGTTTTACTACTGACTATTTAATGAATTATAGGTGTCACGCCTAATGCTTTCTTTATCACACAGAACACGAGCTAAGTAGGGTATGGTTGAGTTTTTGTACTTGCTGGTGCAAGCATATAGTTTTCTATATAGGCTTCTGGTTTTACCTGATGAGATACAAGGGGAGAGTTGTGAGTGAAGAGAGTGGTGTGAGTTAGAAATTTCATAGGCGTAAATATGGATCACAACGAGCGTAGGAACGAAAATACATATGATTAGAAAGTAGTTTTTTTTAAACAAAGACAGGTGTGAACGGAATGAGCATAGAAACAAACTGTGAAACAGTAGTTGTTATAACAGAAGATGAAAAATAAAAGGAATTAGAAAAACCGCAACTAATTAAGTAAACAGAACTAGATCTATAGTAAATGTAGAGGTAAGACATGGAAACCAAGGTCTATTTTTAAGTGATCAAACGGCTATTTATATAAATACAGTTTTATGTTCTACAACCAATCATTGAGTGGGTGATTTTTGTTTACATTAAACGACGTGAAATAGAATGTTCAAATACATATATTATTCTGTTACTAACGTAGTATTGAAAGGTGGGAATAATATTCTGACTCTAGCAACAAACAGAATATTCAAATAGATATAGTGTTCTGTTGGTAATGCTGTGTTGAACTGTGAGAATAATATTCCGTGGGAACGTATTGTCTGCATCACACCACCACAGAACCAGTTTCTTCTGAACACATAGTTCCGTCCTGTCGACACATATAGCGAGAGCTTCTGCTTTACAAAGAAGAAGGAAACACAATGTGCGTCGGTGGCACAGCGGTTAGGACACTCGCCGACCATGCACATGGTCCGCGGTTCGATACCCGGCCGACGCACTGCTTTACCTCGCTAAGCCAGTAATAAAAGCTGGTAAAGAGGAAAGGTTGGGCATGAGGCTAGCAACCCCATCCTGTAAAAATAAACACCACTGCTACTGAAACTTCAAGCCTCTAGCTTGGAGACCTATGTTCCACTGGGAACGTGAAGGAATAAAAAAAAGGAAACACACTACCTTTGATAGATTTTGTTCATTTTCTAAATGGCTTTGAATGATGAATCAATTGAGATGCTGTGAATCTATCCATAAAAACACAATTTTACAGCTTTTGAGGATGGAATCGCCGAAAAGATATCTTTTCAGTGCTTCTTGTTGTTTTCTCTCTAGTGTTTTAATGGATATTTTGCTCAGTTTGAAAAAAGGCAAGGACCTCTTGACAGGGAAGGAACTCTTTACTATCGACAGAGTGAATGTAAGGACAACAATTTAGAAAAAAAATCGTCTATAGCTGCGCTTGCATGGCACAAAAACACAATATTGATTGGGACAATGTTTGTATTCTGAAAACTAATGTGAACAAATGGAAAGAGGGAGTTATAACAGAATCTATATTCATTAAGGTCAAACCGGATACATGTAACAAGGGTGACTCAGCACAATTGTCAACAAAACTGGAATATAATTCTGAATACACAAAAATGAATGAACAAAAAAATGAACTATACATATGTGAGTACAAATCATAAATGTGTGAATTAAAAACAGTAATTTTGCTCGAAATATTACCAAAAAACAAAAACTTATCATTGTGGGCAAACTATTGAAATATAATTACACTTTATTTGATCTATTCCACAATGCTCAAACTTTTTACTGAAATTAATGAATGTAGGGAATTAAAATTCGAATGAGGAACAAGTAGATAATGGATTGATCTTCAACCTTCTTTTTTGTGTATAAATTCTGTATTTCATATTAGAGATAGTTGAATTCAAGAAGATCTAGTCAATTCACGTGAAATTGTTTAATACATTGGTGAATCACTTATGAATTATATGATGGAGTACACAGTACTGTGACTTTTATGAGTACTCAATATTAAAAATTACTTTTCAGAATTAAATGATCGGTCCCAGTATATTATACAAACTACCTTGAAGAATCCTCAGTGCATTTACAATTATTACTGTCTCAAGAGGAATATTTAGAGTGATGAGAAGACGGGATATATTTATTGATTTTCATAATAATAATAATAATAATAATAATAATAATAGGATCTTTCATTCATAAGAAATAGTATCATTTTCCGTCTTGAGCCATACACATTCCTTTGGATTGCTTTGTGGAACTCCACAAATTAGGTATATGAAGTGACATTTATGGACAGTAACTGTATAGTGATATTGTAACATCATAAGGCAAGACACGGAAGCCAAGGCTTTATATATATACAGTTTATATTCTCTAACCAATCACTGAGCGTGCGATTTTGGTTGACATCATACGACATGAAATAGAATGTTCAAATGGATATATAGTATTCTGTTGCTAATGCAGTATTGAACTATGGGAATATGTGAGATAACAATCCGATGGAGGACGTTGTATCACACCACCACAATATATCACTTTTGTGAAAACTAGTGCAACAAATGACGGATTTTACATTTTTTTCAATTTCCTACCAAGTCACAGTACTTTTTTCAGCTGACATTCCGAATACCATGTATATGTACTGTAATAATCGATGCTGTATCGATCAGGCACCTAAAGTATAAGCTAAACAAAGCATTTACTAACTATTTGACTAAGTTAATACACATTATGCAATTCTAGCAACAGAATTTAACGCCATTAGACTTCATGAAGAATTCCATGGTTGCATTACTTTGACACCTCATTCTAGAATGTTATTTGACATCAGAATGTTGTATATTTCGGGCAATATTTCCCTACCATACCCATACATAATTCAGATATTCGTTCAGAATTAATTAAAATACTAATCTATTCATGTTTTCATAAGGTATTCTATTAGTGATGAGAAAGTCAGCTAACTCAGTTGTATACAGTTGGCTGGCTGGCTGGATTCAACATAGAACTTGGCACCGAAGTGCAGCAGTTCGAGTTGCCACGTTCCAAATAGCACATAAAGGTAGACAAAAAGTACTATATCAGCTAGTAATGCCCGTCGGGGGAGGCGATGGTTAGGCACGCGCAGCACGTACTAGCCATCATATTTCTGCCAACATTAGCCTAACGTCACTACCAAAAAGATTGTTAGTTAGCCTTCTTTCATTTATTTAGATAAAGCATATTATTATTTTCCTACCTAATGTCCCACATAAATGAACTGTTACCTTTATTACATTAGTTGAATTGTAATTCTAGATTTTGGAATCAAGTATTGAGGAAT